TTTTTTTTTTTTTTAAAAAACAGAATGCCCTGCGTTGGATCTGTATCAACTAACAAAAACTCGATTTGTCCTTCTGTCAACTATATTAATTACCTTAACAAGTTTGTACATCCCATTTCTACACATTTTTCTGCTGGAATTTTTACATGATTACACAATGGCAGTGCTTCCAGGGCGCGGAATATGAGCGGATGCAGCCGGGATGTCCTCCCTAGGACCTGTGAGCACCACGCCAGGGCCCAAGGCGTCACGGCCTCGGGGTGTTCCCCGCCATATACCAGCTGGTGCCAGGAGCTCTGTCATTCAGGCAGGCCTCTTGGAGCCCCCACAAACTCAGCTCCCCGTGGGCTTCTTTCTGAGAGATACAGCAGCAGCAGGACACCACAGGATCAGCTTGTCAGAGATTTCCAACTGGAAACAAATTCCAACTGGAATGTTCTCAGATAAGAAATTGCAAGGGGAAACCAATGGCAAGAAAGAGCAGGTCCCTGGAGGGTCAAAAAGCTTGAGGCAGGGTCTCTGGGGTGCCTGGCCCCCTGGGTCCTGTTGGTCCCACAGACACCTCCAAACTGCCCAACCCCATCTTATGAAAAGTTCAAATGAGCAGTGAGGCACGAGGCAGGAAATCACCTCCTCCTGATCTCAGGCAGGCTCAGGGTGGCTTCTCAGAAGGTGCTGCTGAACTGAACAGAGCTGGGAAAGTGCCTATAAACTGCACTCCCAGGCAAGCACTGGTCAATGACCTATTCACCACGGTTTCTACCATGGCCAAGATACTGCCTGGGTTCTTTCCAAGTGAGCACACCAGACCATTTGCTTTGCTGCCCCAAACACTAGCAGCCGTGAGGAGCAGAAACACACACTTTGAGCCACTACTGACCCCTGTGGGGGAGAGGAGGCTGTGCCTTGAGAAGAAATGAGGCCTCTGGTAGAGGTAAGTGGGTGGCCCCAGGAGGAATCCTCCCAGGCCTCAGGCTTGGAGCTCAAGCCAAAACCAGCACTCAGGCTTTCGACCCACTCCCCGGCCCCAGGCTTCGGCTGCCAGCCCCAGGAGATGCCTCCGGACTCTCTCTAATCAGAATAGTCAAGAAACAAGGAAATGGCTTAGACAATCAGAAACGCCAAGTGTGGCTGCAGGCAAAGACAACGTGTTAAGCCCACTCTTGCCTCTATGAGGCAAAGAAGTAACACAAAGTAATCCCAAGCAGAGCAGGGGCCAGGCAGGCTTGCAGGGTTAGCCAGCACTTCCCTCCTAACCCCGTGCACAGTTGCAGGGCTGCGGACTGGTGTGCAGAGAGGAGCGGAGCTTAGCTGACCCAGCTGTCCCTCCTCACCGCATGGGCAGGGGGGCACCCTGTGGAGGACAGCACAAGCTAGGCCTGTCCTGGGCAGTTTGCACGAGTAGCAGCAGCGGCAGGAGGACAACAGGAGCTGGCTGGGATACCGAGGCTGCGGAAGGCAGTGTGTACATGTATTCCCAGGGGGCTAATTGTCCTTTGGTTTGACGATAAACCAAATCCTGAATGGGGCATGATTCACGGCCCGGAAGGCGTGGCTGGCAGGGCGTGGTTGGCGTGCGCTGGGCCTTACCTGCCACAGCTCCAGGCACATGGGCATGCCCGGCTTGGCATCTGCCTCCGGCTTCAGGGTGCACACTGACGTCTTGGATGGCATCTCCAGAATCTGAACCTGACAGTAAGAAAACAAGTTGATTTGGGCCGGCGCCAAGTCGAGCCTGTGCTATACAAACAAGAGACTTTTAAGGCGATTAGCCAAGGCTGCTGCGAGTTTCTGTCTGCTCCCCGTAGGAACCTGGGAGCCGAGCCTCCTAATTAGGCCGCACAGGCTCGTGGGCTTGGGCACTGCCGGGTGTTGCAAAACTCACGCGTCATTCCTGAGTGACCGGCATGTCCCTCTAACCAGCATCACCACCTGGCAGCCGCCTCCGGCCTCTCCCGATTTTACCTTTTCACTGAGTGGGAGGCTTGCTCGGCACTGACTCAGTTTACCCATTCGCCTGATCTCTGCTTCCTTCTCTTTCCTGGTGTGGGTTTTCATGTGAACAACTCTGAACCATCACAGGAGCATCAAACGGTTTACAGAAGTTCCCTGTGTAGGGAACATGTGGAGACCACCAGTAAGCCTAGGAAATGAACATGGTGTGCACCAGTGGGAACTCTATTTGGAGCCTGGCCGTTCCCAGCACCCCTCACCTCTATACTGGGCATCACAGTGGTGTTTTGTGTCACCAGGCCCTCCTGCGCCTGGGCTGGAAGGTGTGCCTTTTTGGTCCACATAGCCAGGTCATACTCAGGCCCTGGCTCACCATTGACCTGACATGGGCCAGACTCTGCCCCACACCATCTGGAGGGGACAGCTGCAGCCACAAGGAGCAGGTTTGGGTGCTAGAGTACCACAGACCAGAATTGGGTCCCCAGCCATCTGCATCCCTAGTGTCTCACCTCCCTCATCCACCACACAGGGACAATGACGCCCCCTCCTGTGGTGCTTGGAAGTGGAGGCGATTCTGTGCAACGTAGGTCCACCACTCCATGGTGGGGAGGCTCCACTGTACAGATAATGTCACGACAACGTGCAGTCATCACGGAGTCACACATAATCCCTTGTCAACAAGAGGATATCCTCCGGTTTGCAGATGAAGAATCTGAGGTGCAGAGGGGTTAGGGGCGTTGAAAGGACAGGTGGCCTGCTCTCTGATGCCTAGTGAACTGGAGGTGTGTGGGTCTGGGCTGGGCTGCTTCACTAAGCCACAAGGGAGAATGAGCCCAGGGTCTGGGATTAAGTCACGAGTATGAATTCCAGATCTGCTACATGCATGCTGGGTCCATGCAAGGGGACACCGCAGGCAGTGGTACCAGAAAGCCAGTGTACAGCCTGGTCCTCTCAGCTGCAGGCCCATGTGGGGGCGCCACCCCCACAGGCTGAGGCTGTGGGTACCTTTTGGGCAGGGCTCTCGCCAGAGGCCCACACTGTATCCTAACATACAGGTTCCCCCACCCTCTGCAGGATCAGTGTTGCGCCTGCAGGATCGGTGTCCATGCCAGCCACTGTAGCCCTCACTGCCCACAAAAGAGACACAAAAGACTCTAAGTGATGTGAGAGGTTATTACTGTCGTGAAATAAGAGGATGCTAGAAGGAGACCCCTGGAACAGCAAAGATGCTCAAGGAGAAGCTCTAGCAAAATGGAAACAAATACAAGAAAGAAGTTGCACGGGGTGCCTGGGTGGCTCAGCCAGTTAAATGTCCAACTCTGGATTTCAGCTCAGGGCATGATCTCACAGTTTGTAGGTTCAAGCTCTGTGTTAGGCTCTGCACGGACAGTTTCAGGGCCTGCTTGGGATTCTCTCTCTCCCCGTCTCCGTCTGCACCTCCCCAGCTCTCTCTCTCTCTCTCTCTCAAAATAAATGGAGGAAGCAGAAGTCACCGGACGCACAGCCTGCACAGGCCTGCACTCTGGATGGCCTGGCATAAGAGCCCACAGGTACAGTGAGGGATGACCTATCCCAATTTGTGGGCCCAGGAAGACTCCTCTGGTGGCAGAGTGGAGGGGCATGAAGATAAGGGGATCAGGTAGCGGTGAGTCACCCAGCAAGCCTGCTCTAAGAGGAAAGGGAGAAAACCAGGATAGCCCTGAAGCCTGAGCTAGGTGCTGTGGAAGGAAGTGTGAGTGGCAGAACCCACAGCCACATCCCGGGTGCAGGGGAGCAAGGAGCCCAGGACCTGAGGACCAGGGCAGGCCCAGGGGCCTCCGTGATTCTGAAGTGGAGCTCTGGGCTCTGGCAAAAGCCTGGATGCCTGTGCCCAGAGCCTCCTACAGACACCAGTGTGCTTTCCATCTGGCACTCAACTGCAACTTTTATTTCCAGAAGGTAAAATGTTTGGTTTGGGCAAGTGTGGCCACCCAGACGGCCAAGCGGGGTGGGAGCATGTCCTCCCCAGGCATTGTCTGGGCATAGGCCAATGATGCTTTTCCAGACAGATTCAGTCCAGGCAGATTCCACGTGGGAACATGGAAAACAACCATTTTCCCAGAATATACGAGGTCCCCAAACTGGCTGTTCCTGAAAAACATAGATGCCTCCTGCACTGACAAATGGAGAACCAGCAAGTCAGTTAAAAACAGCATCAAGCTGGGGCGCCTGGGTGGCTCAGTCGGTTGAGCGTCCGACTTCGGCTCAGGTCATGATCTCACGGTCCGTGAGTTCAAGCCCCGCATCAGGATCTGTGCTGACAGCTCAGAGCCTGGAGCCTGCTTCAGATTCTGTGTCTCCCGCTCTCTGCCCCTCCCCCGCTCATGCTGTGTCTCTCTGTCAAAAATAAATAAAACTTAAAAACAAAAACAAAAACAGCATCAAGCAGGAGATGCGGGGTCTCGGGGGCCAGGCCCGGGAGAGGGACAAGCAGCCAGGAAGACTTGGGGTGGCTGAGAAGTGGAGGACAGCCTAGGGCACCCCCCACCTGAGCAGGAAGGGCTGGTTCAGCCCGGGCTGGGTTCTGAAGTGCGCAGCACATGAGCAAGGCTTGGCGCTGCCTGGCCCCGGCTGTCCGGGAGGAAGCACAGCCCTCTCTTTTCACATTAATAAAACTTTTAACAGGTTTTTGGCAAATTGGCAAGAAAAGTGTATGTAGCTCCTAATTGGTGATTTAAACGCAATCATGAACAAATAAATGCCTGTTCCTATCTCATTATTTATGAACTGAATCTGCTTTAAGACAAACGAGTCTTCTTGGGTGGGGGCCAAACCTCACTGTGTGCACGCGGCCTCGGGTCCCTGCGCAGCGCTGCCTGCTGCGCTGCCTCTTGGGGCCAGCAGGGGACAAGGAGCCAGGAGGCTCCCTCCCCTTGTACGTGTGCACACCCCAGCCCTCCCTGCCCATACTCAGAGCCTCTGACCCCCTACACTCGGCCCGGCCCTTGAGCAGCCATGCCCCGACACTCACCAGGCCTGTCTGGTTGCTGCTTCTGGGTTTTTTTCTTCAATTTCCTTTTAGCTCCCCAAAAGCTGGCACCTCCACCCATACCCACATCTTCCACCTTACCCTCCCACCCTTGCGTCCCACCATCTGTTCCCATGTCCTGGGCATTGCTTCCCATGGTGGGCTCTGCCTCTTCTGCCTCTGGGGGTGTGGACATGCTGTCTAGCCTGCCCAGCTCCCTGTCACCAACTACTGCTAGCTGTTCTGGCCGGAGCCCCATATGATGGTGACTTCCGAGGCTCCATCACGCCCACCTGAAGCCCCATTCCCTGAGTTCCTCTGCTCACCTGTGCCCCCTATACTGAACTTACTGCCCTGGTACCAGTCTTTGCCCCCAGCATCCCACATCTGACTGAGGTCTCTCATGCCAGGACCCAGTTCAGCTCCCCAGAAGGCCTCCCTCCCCTGCTGCCCTGGTTCCGACGCCCAGACTTCCATAAGGCCTCAGTTTCTCTCCCACCACCTCCTGCTAGCCTGCCTGGGACATCCCCCCATGTGTGTCTCCTCCTAAGTCCTCTGAGGACCTGTCTGAGCAGTCTCTCCCCTGACATTCGCCCATCCCGTGCCATATGGTACTGGGTGCTGGGGCCTCCCTTCCTGACTCTCACCACTGGACACCTCACAGGAGGCCAGGTCAAGGCCCCTGGAGCTGTGATCCAGCAGACAGACCTAGACCCACCACTCTGTGGGGTTCTGTGGTGGGCACAGGGTTCCTGTAACAGGTGCTTAGGATGAGCATATGTGTTTAGGGAAACCAAGTGCCAGCAGCTTGTGGAGCCAGGGGCACCACATGGGCTGGTGCTCACCTCGTCACTGCCTCTCCCCGGCATGGCCAGCATCCAGTGCCTCTGACCCCTGGCCAGGACGGTGCTCCTGCAGAAGCCCATGCTCTCCAGGCACACGGAGTCCACGACAGCGTTTCTGCCCTCCGCCAGGTCCCATAGGCACAGCTTCAGGTCCCGGCCCTGACTGCCAGACCAAGAGGAGACAGAACGTGAGCCTCCCAGGTGAGCAGACTGGGTGTCCCACCTGGACGAGCATGCCAGGGCCAGCCTGACGCCGAAGGCAGGCAGGGGACACTTTCCAGAGAGGGACCTAGAAGGCCTCAATTATCTGGCTGGGTAACTGCAGCCAAGGAAGGGCTTTGCATCCAAGATGCCTGATGCCTCACACATTCATGGGTCGTCCCAGGGGTGCACTATGAACCCAGGCCCAGGGAACCTCATGGCCCCTGCCCCAAGCCCAGCCTCCCGGGCCCTTTCTGCCACTCCCTATGCTGCCAAAGCATGAGTTCACTCTCTTCCTTCTGTTTGTGAATGAACTTTGACAACCCAGGAATCCCACCCTCACGAATTCTCCCAAGTGAATTTAAAACCTATATTCACATAAAAGCCCATACACAAATGTTTACAGAAGCTCTGTTCATAACTGCCCGAGCCAAACCAGAAACAACCCTTCAACAGGAGACTGAGAAACCAGTGACGCATCCACACCACAGAATTCCACTCAGCAACAGACAGGGACAAACTGGGGCGCATGCAACCACCTGTAGGAACATCTGCTAAGTGAGGGGAGCCAGAGCTTAAAGGCCACCTTCTGTATGATTCCCCTGGTGGGGCGTTCTCTGTGTGTGTGGCGGGGGGGAGCATGATGGCATGTGGAGGACTAGGGGTACCACCTACAGGGGGTGTACAGAGGCCCTGCAGCGTGCTGACCGCCCTGTGTGGCCCTGGGGTGGCCCTACGTGATTGTGGGCATCGTCAAGCCCACAGGACGAGTCCACAAAGAGCAGACTTCGGTATGTACACATTTAGAAAACAGCCAGGGTGTCAGGGTCCCAAGACAAACTGCAGACTATGACAAATGTATGACACAATGTGACCAAGGGGAAGGGCACCCAGGAGCCGACCTGTGGGATGTTGGAGAAGCGTGTCGACTCGATACTGAAAAGTTAAAGGAAAAACACCTTTACAAAGACACAGGACTCTAGTTGTCAGTCTGTATCCTAACCCTCAAACGGCTCAGCCTTGGCACACAGCAGGGCTGCCCACCTGTCCTTGAGGCCTTCACAGCCACTGGTGGGTGACTCCCAAGCCCACCACCTTCTACAATTACAAGGTGCTATCCCACAGGAAGAACGGACTTTCGCCTCCCCATTGCTCTGGACTTACACATTCCTGTGTTACTCAGTGGGTTGTCATCTACACTTCTCACTATTTATTTTTGTGCTAAACCATCCCAGATCAGCCAATGGGACCCCCTTCAAGCTGGCTCAGAGTCCTTCTGACACGTGTCCATCAGCAAGATATTCCAGACCTAGTATCATTTCTCCAAGGGACCCTTGTTCCTTTCAGTGCAGAGAGATATTTGCAAACCAAGATCTGGATGCTGGTGTTGTTCACTGTTGTGAGGTGCTGCCGCCACCAGGCCCTCTCAGCAGACAGAGCCAGGAAATACACACACACACAGCTCACTCACACACGCAAACACCTCCCTGCACACAAAGACTCACACAGGCGAACATATTTCACACACGTACCTCACACATGCAAATACCTCATATACACACTCACACATGCAAAATACCTCATACACACACTCACACATGTGAAATACCTCATACACACACTCACACACACAAACATACCTCACATACACACAGACTCACACACGCAAACATACCTCACACACACTCACACATGCAAACATATCTCACACAGACTCATACATGCAAACATACCTCACACACACATACACAGATTCACACATGCAAACATACCACACACATGCAAATACCTCACGTGCACACACACACACACACACAAACATACCTCACACACACAGACTCACATATGCAAACATACCACATACACACACACACGCAAACATACCTCACACACACACACACACCTCACACACACTCAGACTCACACAGACTCACACACGCAAACATACCTCACACACACACATGCAAACATACCTCACACACACACTCACACACACAAACATACCTCACACCCACCCACAGACTCACACACAAATGTACCACACACACAGACTCGCACACGCAAACATACCTCACAGACACACACACATACACACACACACAAACATACCACGCACACAGTCACACATGCAAGCATACCACACACACACACATCCAAACATACCACACATACAGACTCACACATACAAACATACCTCACACACACAAACACACACACTCACACATGCAAACATACACACACAAGAATTTCTGTGTCTATCTTTGTGTATATATTTTCAAAATGCCACAAGTTCATGCTGATGCCCTGAAGCTTCTTCCTCCCCACCTCCTCCTTCTCAGGTTTGTGACTTCCTTCTCTGACCCATGAAAAATCTGCCTCCCATTTTTCCTCAAGATATTTACTGCCACGCTCCCCCAACAAGCTTGCTTGCATGATGTAGCCAGTCTCCCAACCTCCCCAGCCACTCTGAGACCTCGCCCCCATCACCCTGGTTCTCTGGCCACTGGGCATGCCACTCCAACATCCCTGCCTGGAAGCCACTCCCCACTACCTACTTCCTCAACTGCCCACGTCACTGAACTTGGAGGGGAAACAAGGGCAAGGAGGACAAGACCACCGGGTATCCAAATGGAAACAAAGAGTGCTCATCCATACCGACAGGCAATTCCAAATGACGTGTGGGCAAAAAGAAACAAGAGTGAAGCTCCAGCCATAAGGGAAAGATGGCAGATTTGATTCCATTTCAATGGCTAACTTCTGCTCATTAAAGACACCAGTAAGTGAGTGCAAACTGTAAGCCACCATGTGGAGAAGTAACTGGTGATATAAAAATATCAACCATATCCAGAATATAAAAAGAACTCTCAGTAAGAAAAAGGTAGTCAATCCAATAAAGAAATGCGCATTTAAGGAAGACTTTGTCCCAGTGGCTAACGAAGCAGAAGAGGGCTGGCTCATTAAGTGGTCAGGAAAATGCAAATGAGGCCACACCAGAAGCTCCCAGGCCCCAGGGGGCAGTGGAAGGCTGGGATCACCTACTGCACTGGGGACAGCCTGCCACCTTCTGAGCAGCCCAACATGTGCACACCCTGTGGCCCGGACGGCCCGCCTCTGGGTATAGGGTCCCACCTGCAGACACGGCACACCTGGCACCAGGAGACCCAGATGGGACTCTTTCTTTTTAAGATTTTTTTTCTTCTCTTTTCTTTTTTTTTTAAGTAGGCTCCATGCCCAGCATGGAGCCCAATGAGGGGCGTGTGCTCACACAACCCTGAGATCAAGACCTAAGCTGAGATCAAGAGTTGGACGCTTAACTGCCACCCAGGTACCCCAGATAGGAGCCTTCCTAAGTGTCATTCTCAGCCCCAAGTGGACAACCGAGATCTCTACTGACAGTAGAATGGTAAACAATCCACATCCAGTGGAATACCACACAGGAAAAAACCCACACAATGCACTGTGTAGCATGATGGTGGATCTCACAACGTAAAGCTGAATAGAAGAAGTCATATACAGAGGAAGCTGTTCTGTATGGCTCCATTTTTTTAAGTAGAGAAAAAATTAGACATGACGACTCTATGCATTTTGGAAATGCACATTCAGATGATACAGTGAGAATAAGGTGCAAGGGGCTGCCTCCCGAGGCCAGGAGAGGGGCAGACATCATGCCCGGCAGTGTTGTGTTTCCTGACTGGAGTGGTTACCCAGGTGTCCACTCTGTAATAACACAACGGTCTGTAAACATGTTATATGCACTTTTCTCTAAGTATGCACAATTCGCAATGAGAAAGGGAGGAAACAAATCCACCCAGGTGGCTGTCACTGGCACAGGTGTGCTCTCAGGCACGCAGGCGGCAACTAACTCTCAGCCTGGCTCCCAGCTTTCTGTCTTCTGGCCTCCCCTTGACATGAAAGTGTACCTTCCTTTCTCAAGGGCCACTTTAGAGAGACTTGGCTCCAAACACAGCTGGGTGCACGGCCTCTAGTGCAACGTAAATGCACCTGGGCATTCCAAGTACCTGCACAGTCTGTGCTGTGGACCTCCTGACCCACGGGCCCCCTGCCCAGAGCAGGACCACCGCCGTGCCATCCAGGTTGGAAGGGGAGGTACCATCAACATTTATTCCCCACACAGCATCAGGCCAGCTCAGGGAGCAGAACTCAGGGCCAGGAGTTTCCTGAGAACAGCCCAAGGTATCTGGGCCCTGGAGGAGCAGGAGACCCCAAAGGGTCTAAGGCCTCAGCTGAAAACTCAAGAGGAACGTTTATAAATAGGAACTTCCAGTGCAAGTGGGGTATTTGGACGCAACATCTATTCTGAGGATCAGGGAAAGACCACAACTGTATGGAGGGCCTTCCCTACCAACTGGAGATAGGGGCCAGCTTGGCCAGGGAGGGGGCAAGGTGCCGCAACGGCCCTGCAAGCACATACATCCGGGGCCACTGCCCTTCCAGATACCTCCAGTCTGTCAGGCACCTGCAAGCCACCTTCAGGGTGGTGGGAACGGCATGTCTGGCACAAAAGTGCTTTGAAGATGGGTGGGGGCCTGACAGGCCTCCTCCTCTGGGGACTGGGAACCATGGTACCCAGATGTCTGGGCTCCAAATCTAGAGAAGGAACACAGACCTGCCCTGGAGGGCATTCAGGAAAGTTTCACTTAAACTTGATAGACATAAACTCATTCTCTTACCCACCTGCCCCTTCCTGCTGCCTCTTGGCCCACCTCTCACCTGGAGTCCCCAAGCTGGTACCTCCACAAAGCTGTGGTGGCAGTGCCAGAACACAGCCCCTCTGGGCTCTGCTGCCCGGCCTCCATCCCTCACAGCCCCCATGACACGCACAGGCTGGGCCTGCAGTGGCTTTGGCACACGCAGTTTCTTCTACCAGGAGTGCCAGACCCCACCTCGCTCTCGCCATCCCATCTCACCCTGCACTGGTCAGCCCAAATGCCATGGACCTGGGTGCCTGTGTGGCACTGTCAGTGCCCCTAGGGGTGGCCACACTCAGGGTTTGGAGCACAGCCCCAGTCAGTGGGTAGGCATTAGGTTTAGGCTTTGCACCACCCTGGTGACCAGTCCTAGCCACCTCGTGGGAGGGTGGCCACCCATCAAAGCAGCCGCTGTGACACCAGAGCCCTGGGGAAGGAAAGCTGAGGCTCCTCTAAGGAGATGCCTTGGGCTCAGCCATTGAGCCCCCAGCTCTTGCCCCTGGAGAGGCCTGCTCAGGCCAGGGAGGTGTGGGGCTGTAGACAGAGCTGCTTTCTGTGTTCATCATCTTAGTGGGCACCTGCCTGGATAGCGCAGTGGTCACAGATGCTGCAGTGATGGGCACCCAGCCCACCTACAGTCTCAGGGCAGACCAAGGGCAGAGGTCACACTGCTCCGCACTGGGAGGGGCTGCCTGGCAGCTGGGGGAAACCCCAAGAGCCTCCACTGGCAAGCTCTTGGCCCCTGGTGAAAGCCACAGCTTAACTCCTTTGGGACTGCACTCACCGCCACCAAGACCCACCTGAGGAGCTGGTGCCCTTGGGGCAATGAATGCAGCCAGGTTACACACTGGCCCCGATGGCCGTCCAGGGTAGCAACCGCCCTCCGTGTCTGCAGGCTCCAGATGTGCACCAGCCCACTCAGGGATCTGTTCTGACAAGTGCAAGCACAGACTCAGGAAGAGGCGTCAGTGGAGGACATTCCCAGCATGCTCTGTAGGGCTGGCCTGGAAACCACCCAGCTGGTGGACCAGACGTTCCGTTGTTGGGTTTTCGTTTAGGTGATGGCTGTACATGTGAACTAAGGGTAAAAGTGGCACAGTGCTCCTTTTCCAAGGATGGTGGGCAGAGAGTCCCTCAGGCAGAGTCTACTTCTCTGGAGAGGAATGGGGGAGAGCTCCATCGACACTGTAAACTGGATGGTGTCTATAACAGAGAGGGCATGTTCCTACCTCCTCCGAGGGGGGCGGGCCCAAGGGACAGCTTGTCGAGTAGGCTCTGAAAGGGCAGTCTGCCCGAGTGATGGGCAGCCTGAGCCCTTCCCTAGGACCCCCAACTGAGCGCCGGGCTCGTTGCTAGCCCACCACCTTCTGAATTCACCCTGGGCTAACCCCTGGGGTTAGGTTGGGACCGCAGCTACTCACCCTGAGAGGAGGAGCGGCTGCCCCTGCCCTTCGGCTCCTCCGAAGAAATGCAGCGCATGTACTGCCGACTGGGTACCTCGGAGGACAAACCGCGGGTCTGGCGGTGGGAGCGGCGAGGCTGCCATACTGGGAGGAGGTGCAGTTACCTGGGGACCAAGGGAGGGTGTAAGTGACACACCTGTCATCCTTCAGGAAGGTAGTCAGTAGGAGCCCCCCTGGATGCTGCCCACCCCCTTCAGCCTGTCTTCCATCCTGCCTATTGGCCTCTACACTCAAATGGCATCACCGTGGCCCCAACCTATACTGTCTCTGGGTGGGCACCATGGCACCCACACCCTTCTGAGGCCACTCTTACCCTCAGTGTCCTGCGTAGAGCCAGCCACTGGCCTCCAGGCCTCCCTGTCCACCCACCGGCTGTAACCTCTGGCTCCCTGGACCCCACTGGCTGCAGCAGCACTGCTCTAGCCAGGGAAGACTCCTCCTCACTTGGGCTCTCCACACACCCAGTCTCATCTCTGGACCTAGCTGAATCCTGCAAATTCAGTCTCCCTCCTCCCTCACGAGGCCCATCTCCTCTCCTCCCTGCAACGGGGCAAAGACATGCTGGGACATGCTGCCCACCTAGGCCCCGCAGCAAGCTTGTGAGAACAGGGGCCACGCTGGTCTGCTCCCCCCAGACCACAGGCCTGGCCAAGCACATAGCAGCTGCTCAGCAAGTGTATACTGAAGGGATGAACCAATGGACAGACAAGAGGTGTGTGGGGTCCCTGGGCAAGCAGGACCCAAAGATGGAGAGGGCCCTCTCCCTCACGTGTGCTAAAATACACCACCTGCTGGGTCCTGAAGGCCTGCACAACCACCCTTCGAGAAGGCAGCACCCCATTTACTGTTGGTGAAACTAGGGCAGAGACTGATCTGGTGAGCTGCCCCAGGCCACTCAGACCCAGGCCTGAAGTGGCATGCTGCCACAAAGGGGCAGAGTGGTTTGGGCACTGGTGTGTGGGCAAGGGGCAAGAGACTGAGTCACCTTGCCACTCCCCTGGAGGACTGATATCACAGATGAGTGACCCTTCCTCAAATCACTGGTCCTATGTTTAAAGCCTGCTGGGGCCCACCCACCTGAAAGAAGAAGCCTCCCTGTGTCCCCGCCTGAGTCTGCCCCAGTGATGGTACAGGGGTGGTTGCTGGACCAGAAGTGACCTGCCCCAATGACCAAGGGGCAGGTCCCAGGCCAGGCTGAAGGTTGAAAGGGAAAGGCCAGGAGCAGACTGCTGGGGAACTGTAGTAACTTCATCAGGAGGGCCTCTCCTGCTGGGCTCTGAGACACTTCCCAACCTGCCTATCAGGGAGGAGGCCACCCGACCACTGCAGCAGCCACAGCCACAGCCACAGCCACAGCCACCAGAGGAATTGGGGCAGGGAAAAGGACAAGAGCAGAGAAGACAGCATTCCTCCAGGAGGGGGCTCTGGCCTATGCCAGAGGTTAGAGAGGGTTCTAGGCCAAGGACGGAGGAGGCCCATGCAGGAGAGGGCTGCAGGCTGAGGACAGGCAAATGCTCAGGGGCAGAGGCAAGAGAGGCATGGGTTTCTCCAGCAGATCAGTCCAGGCACTGCTTCATCCACACCCTTAACAGCGAAGCCCTGTGTACCTCCCCTCCTTGAAACCATCCCAGACCCTTTCGTTCTCTCTCTCCCATCAGAATAGAGCTAGGAGTAGCTTGATTAAGCAAAAGGTTCAAAACACCTAAGAAATGCCACCGTCAAGGCAGCTGGGGACTTGCATACCAGGGGGCTCCAAGTCACCAAGGCAGCACAAGGCGGTCAGTGACCCGAGCCTCTGGAGACCACAGGAACCTGGGAAACACTGCACAGACCCAGCAGGAGGCCATTGCCAGCACCAGGCTGGCTGAGGCCTGGCCCATGTGAGGGCTGGAAGTAGGGCTGGGGGCTGAGATCCTAATGACCCAGAGCAGAGACTACAGGGCCAGGGCCAAGAAGGGGCAGAAGCTTACCCTTAATGGTGAGAGACCCCAGGAAGCCACTCTACAGCTCCATCCTGCCTTCATCGAGGGGTTTCAAAGAGAAGGAAGGGGTCCCTCGGAATGTGCCTTACAAATAGCCAAATCCTTGTTTGTTTGTTTGTTTGTTTGTTTCTTTCTTTCTTTCTTTCTTTCTTTTTTAGGGTTTTCACTCTAAAAGCCCCTCTCACCTTTGGCTGAAAACCAAATGACTCTTCTCAAACATAAGGACAGCCTCCTGTGGGCAGAAGAACCTGACCCCACACTGCTCCACAACCCATGGCCCCTGCTCTGCTGTGGGACAGGTAAGCTGCCTGGAGATGCTTCTGGGCTGGGGCTAAAACCCTGCTAGGCTACCCTCAAGCAGGTGGGCTTGGGACAAGTTCCGAGGAGCAGCTATTGGATCCTCAGAAGCTACTGACTGTCTGTGCTATGCCTGCTCTGCAAGAATAGCTGATCAGCTCCAGGATCTCAGATTTGGAAAAACCCAAGAATGGAGAACCCCGCTAATGCACATCAACCCACCAGAAAAGCCCTGGTCCCTAGGGGCTAGGGAGTGGGGAGCATTCCACCCCACAGTCCAGGCCTTGGAGTCCTACAGGCCACTTCTGTGCAGGTTCCCACGGTACAGTCCCGACTTGCACACACACCATGTTCAAGCGCGTGCTTGCGTACATGCACAGGAGGCACACACATTCACATCCACTCACATATACATACACACGCATGCACATGCATGCACATACTCACACACACATTCATAGCACGGGGGCCTTGGGCAGTGCCAGCCGAAGCCCAGCCCACACTTGCCACCTGCCTGCGGCCTGATGGGAGTTTCCAGAGCCTCACCAGCACAAGGCTCAGTCTGAGGTGATGAAATCAAGTTCTCCTCTATTGTTTCCCCAGAACTGCAGGGAACAAACCCGTCACGTTGTTACAACAACCAAAATGTTCAGGCCAAAATGATGCATCGGCAATTAAGGGCTCCATCATTTCAAGCAATTAAAATAAATGCTTTATTTGAAAACTAATTAATTCTAGCTACATATTTTTCCCATGACAATATCCTATGATTACTTGATTTATGACATCTAATTATTCTTTATTAATCTAATTGAGAATAATCGCGTTATCCTATCTTCCCTGGCACCGGGCCGCCCAGAGCGGAGGCCACAGCCCCTTGTGCAACACCAGTGCGTGATACCAGCCGCCCGCCGCTGCTTCGTTTCCCTGTTCTGTCACTTGTCTTTTCCTCCCAGAGGGCAAAGGAACATGAAACTTAATCCACTGAGCACAACTTCGGATTCTGCCTGCTCCTCGAGATGTCAAAGAGAGACACATTCTTTTCAAAATTAAAAAGAAAGACAATCTGACACAATTTGCGCAACTCTGACAGCCTTTCCAACTGATGTTATGAACCCCCCACTCTCCCACCCCACTGAAAGCCCCTCAGGCCCTTGGCCCATGGATGGAGGATGACAGCGCCCCCCTACATCCCATCTTAGAAGCAGCAGTCTGGCAGGGCTTACATAGGGTCATCCACACAGAGAGGGGCCCCAGACCCTCCCTCCTGGTGTGGACAGCAGCAGGGGCAGGGGCGGGAGCCGGGTCCCATGTGGAAAGGCATCAGGGCTACATTTGGAACTTACCGTCCCACAAAGCCATGTGTACCTTGGGCAGGTGCAGCAGCCACAGGGACCCAAGGACGCCCCTCCTGGGGGGGTGTGTGCAGGAGAACACACACAACCTACCAGTGACTGGCAAACACAGAAGAGGCAGGGCCAGGGGAGAAGCTGGTACCCAAAGACCACGGGTCCCTACCTCTGTGTGCCCCACAGCCTAACCTGCAAACAGGTCCCACTCAGTCACAGAATCCTTTCCTTTTACTGCCCCAGAGCCACTGGTCCCAGAAGAAGCTTGGAATCAAAAACAGCATGAAGTGAGCCCAAGCAGGGGAGCCACCACCCAGAGATAGATACCCATGCACTGCTCTTGCCTGTCCCCGCCAACCGGGTCCTGCCTGCTTGGGAGTATAAGGACAGGCTACACAGGATGTTGGGAGTGCCTCAAAGAGGACCCCAAGTCCTCCCACACGTGTGCCTAGAACAGCTCCAGCAGCCCCAAGAGGCACTAAGAATTCCATAACCAGCACAGACTAGGGAAGCACTACTACCTGGCAGGATAGATGCCCACAAAACAACTAAAAATGCTAATAAAATAAAAAACCAAAATCTTCAGTACATCACTAAGCTGGTAAAAACAAACAACAACAACAACAGAAAAAGTTTAGAACCTTCACAGGCCCAACACTTCGGTGGAATTAAACCTAGTGAGGTCTGCGGAGCCCCCAGTTGGTGCCTGCCCTGAGGGCATTTGCTACATTAGTGACCCAGAATTCTGGTTCTCAAGCAAGGCCTCTGAATCGATGAAGGACAATGCTAGGGCTCTCCCAAAGTGGGCAATCTCATAGGAGTATCTCCATAAAGATGAGACCCCCACAAGGCTAAATTCTCAGTGTTAGACTGAACCAGAAGTAAACCTACAACCAGAGTTGCCAGAATAATGCCAGCTCCCAGGGTTTAGTCCTAATTTACACCACCTTGGGAGGTCCTCAAAACTTCAGTCTGTAAATGTCTCTCAGAAGGAGCCTACCTTCAACACCAGCCTGAATGAATTCATAGATAAAGCCCTATGAAATGCAAGTAATCAGGGGCGCCTGGGTGGCGCAGTCGGTTAAGCGTCCGACTTCAGCCAGGTCACGATCTCGCGGTCCGTGAGTTCGAGCCCCGCGTCAGGCTCTGGGCTGATGGCTCAGAGCCTGGAGCCTGTTTCCGATTCTGTGTCTCCCTCTCTCTCTGCCCCTCCCCCGTTCATGCTCTGTCTCTCTCTGTCCCAAAAATAAATAAACGTTGAAAAAAAAAATTAAAAAAAAAAAAAAAAAAGAAATGCAAGTAATCAAAACTCATAGAAACAAAAAAGGAAAAATTGCACCATGAGTGAGAGCCATGAGAAACAACAAGAGGCAGAACTAGACCTCTAGTGCACAAAGCATTCAGGCATATAAAACAGGGATATTTAATGCTCTTAAAGAAATAAAAAGAGGGAGC